AATGAAAGAGAACTAAAAATTATAGACTCTTGGATACTCTGCCTTTTAGATGAACACGGTATAACTTCTCTGCCCTTAGATAATGACAAATTACTTACATGAAGGCATTTAGAAAAAAGAAGAAACATTTTCAATGTGTATATTTTTATCTTCACTCACATACTTAATCTCCATATGACTATTTCTCTAAAACTGCCCCCTCCAATACTACTTAAAGATAGAATGTGAATAATTTCTGAATTCTGTAGGCTTTAAAAATGTTTTGGTATCGGGGCGCCTGGGTGGCTCAGTGGGTTGAGCCGCTGCCTTCGGCTCGGGTCATGATCTCAGAGTCCTGGGATCGAGCCCCGCATCGGGCTCTCTGCTCGGCGGGGAGCCTGCTTCCTCCTCTCTCTGCCTGCCTCTCTGCCTGCTTGTGATCTCTGTCAAATAAATAAATAAAATCTTAAAAAAAAAAAAATGTTTTGGTATCAAAAACATGCACATTAAAGAACAGTAAAGGTAAATCCTGGCTCATTTTATATTTTTTACTTTCAGTAGAAAACAGTAATGGGAATTGAGCACAGAATAGTGAAGACCAAGATACTTAAAATACAAGCTAACCACTGGGACCTTTAAGAATTTAGGTGGCGGGGCACCTGGGTGACTCAGTGGGTTAAAGCCTCTGCTTTCGGCTCAGGTCATGGTCCCAGGGTCCTGGGATCGAGCCCCGAATCGGGCTCTCCGCTCAGCAGGGATCCTGCTTCCCTCTCTCTCTGCCTGCCTCTCTGCCTACTTGAGATCTCTGTCAAATAAATAAAATCTTTATTAAAAAAAAAGAATTTAGGTGGCAAAATATTTTAAGTAATGTACATCTGTCCTATCCACATTTAACATTCGATCAAATAGAAAAGCCTGTAATGCATTCAAAGGTAAAACAAAAAGCCACAAACATGTATCTTCTGGATTATTCAGAGTTAAAAAAAAAAAAAGCCACCACAACCAACCACACTAAATGATCAGTTGGCAGAGGATGATAATTACATATATTATTTCTCAGGCCTTTTCAAGGATCTACTGTGGGAGACACTATAATAGATTTACTATATATTTAAGTTGCATCCTTTATAGCTTGACTGAATGGTGTTTCATATTAACAGAGAAGAGTAAAAGTTCACCGAGGAAGGAACTATTTCACAAAAGTGGATTCTTTTTAAAATTTTTATTTATCATGTTTAAGAATTTTAACATTCAGCGTTATGTTAGTTCCAGGTGTACAATATAGTGATTTGACAATTCTATACAGTAGTCAGTGCTCATCGTGATAATAAGTGTATTCCTAATCCCCTTCACCTATTTATAAATATAAGTTCTTTAGGTAACTGGACCTGATGGCCAGTTCGTATTAGTCACTTATTATTTGATACCCACTGGACAATTTAAATAAGTGTCACATTTTCCTACCTTTTACAATAAAAATGTCCAGAACACAATCCAATGTTTTCTTGATGATTTGGGTCTACTTCAACACTTCATCACTTGATAACTATCATTTTGCAAACTTGCCTTTCACTTTTAGCAAGGAAAGAAAAAAAAAAACAAGGAAAGAAAAAAAAAAACCAGTCCTACTAGTATCTCTAAGCGTCACAATAGTGCAACATGTTATTATCTTTGCAGAAAAGAAAAACATGGCTCAGAGAGGTTAAGTGACTTATTTGAATCATACAGGGAATGTGACATCAGTCACACGACATCGGTCCCCACTACTCAAACGTGAGTGTGCTTCAAATCCACTTACAGGCACATTATTTTTTTTTAAATTTCAGTTCCTTTTTTCAGTGTTCAAGTTCACTGCACTTGCAGGCATATTAAAGCCCAATCTGCTAGGCCCCACCACCAGAGGCTCGGATCCTATAGCTATAGAATCTGTATATTAAATAACTTTCCAGGTGGTGCAAATCCTAGAGTTGGGGACCACACTTTGAGAATAAATGGGCTAATCCAGGGGATCTTCCATCCTTAACTGTCTCCTCTGTCATATCTGTTGCTGTTAGAATTTCCTCCTCCTTGAACGTGGAATCTTTTTTTAAGAGCACCAAGTTATTTAGGCAGGGTTAACTACCACTAATTACTACTACCCGTGGTGCCCTTGTGTTCTCTTTGGGCCATGTCATTCTCTTCTTTTTGGCTGTGACAACCTAAACAAGAAATTTTCAAACACTTCTAGGCTCCGAGAGGATTAAAGGTACCAAGAAGCTCTGGGAACATGATTCTTCCATTTTCTTCCCCACTTGAAACAGAGCTCTTCCTCCTGTATTCTTTGCCTTATTTGACAGCACACATCAGAATCATTCAGGATCCCTCTTTTTTTGGTACCCCACACCTTCCAATCGGTCATGACGGTGCATTACTTCTACTTCCTAAATAGCTCTTGAGCCTGGCAATTTCTCACTGCCCAAGAGCACCTAATTCACTTGTCTGAATCCAACAGTCTTCCTAATGGATTTCTACCTGGACCGCTCCAATCCAGTCTCCGCAACGCAGAGAATCTTCCTAAATAAAAGGATAATTATGCTTAAAATCCCTGCTTAAAATCCTTTAGTGCTTCCTCACTGCTTTTGGGATAAAATGCAAACTCCTGGCATCACTAGAAATTCTTTGTCTCTCCACACTGCCCATGTATGTCTGCACTTGACCCAGGTGAGCTCTCTTCGAATTCCAGAGTAGGACGTATTTGCTCAAGACTCCATAACCAGACACAAGCTCCCGTCTCTCCTGGGCTCTCATGGCCCCTCTGCTGGGTCGCTACTCAGGATGGAGACCAAGGAACACTTGAGAAAGTTCTCCCAGCTTTCCCACCATGAGCCCGGGCTGGCTACTCCAGTTACTTTCATAATGTCATGTTCATATACCTATCACAGCCTTCCTCACATTATTTTGTCATCACAAATTTATTTTTTAATCTATTTCTTCCTCCACTTGATATACCTCCCCTGACCCAGCAATTTTACACGGAGTATGTTCAGGAGGCTGACTGGTTCAGTGAAAAAGGCACAGAACTTAACTTGGGTTCAAGTTCTCCCTCTGTCTCTTACTAGCTCTCCGAGGTTAGCCAAGAAACAAAGGCAAATAAAACTACAGTGCAGAAGGGCGGAAATTTAGACAATTGCTTTTGGATCTTCAATATATGGTTTTACTTTTTTGGTCTGTTACTTCCTTTGTACAACAGGTATTAGGCTAAATGATCACCTTTCAACTCTAAGATCTTATGGCTGTGATCATCCGCTGTATCCTGGATAACAGAAATGCTGAAGATCTCTCGGAACCATGCAAATACAGTATCATAAACATAGGAAACTGCAGGACTGAAGTCAGTCATCACGTTACTTAATCGCACAGATTCTTTTCAACGTCTACTAGGATTTTTCAGATTTTATTTGCTTTAACCTAGAAAAGGATAGGAAAGAAACTTCTGCCAAGTACCCGTAAAACGTAACCTTCTTCTTTAAATCTGATTTCAAGGGAAACGTTTTACAGCGTTATTCTTCCTGAATTGCCATCAGGTCATGCAGTTTCACTTCTATGAATTCACGTAACATTCGACCTCTGAAGAGGATGTCTTTCTTCTAAAGCATCAGCACTACTCTTTGGCTCTGTAAGGTAGAGAATGCACAGTAGCTTCTGCTAACAACCGCTGGAAATAATACATAATCCTCAAGATAAATACAAAGCAGATAAAATTTATGGCACTTGAACAACGGACATCTGCCCCGAGCAGTCGCAGTTCATTCTTTCTTCACTTTCAAGGCCTCTTGCTCTATTCAAGCCTTTGAGCTAAGCAGCAGAGTTAATTATCGATCAGTAGTCTCCCTGAACCACGGGGATATGTTTCCTGACCCTCCATGGATGCCTGAAACCATAAATAGCACTGAACCCCATTATAGACCATGTTTTTGTTCCCTCTACATATGTCTCTACGATCAAGTTTAAGTTAAAAGTCAGGCACAGTAAGAGAACAGCAAATAATAACAGGAGAGTGAAACTAATGGAAGTTATGAGAATGCAGTCTCTCTAAATATCTAATGGTACGGTACGCGCTTTCCTTCCTCTTGGGATGACCTGAGACGGTAAGACGCCTATGGGATGAGATAAAGTGAGGCGAGTGACATAGGCCTGTGATGTATGGAAGGATCCTACTGACCTCCTGAATAGAGGTCAGGAGGACCACTGGCTCCCTGACCTTGGCTGACACCATGGAAGGCAAAACTGCTGAGAAGGGGGGACTGCTGTACAGCCCAGTTAGAACTGTATAAAGGGGAAATTATGCATGCAAATGTGTTCAGACTGACTGCTTGAATGCACTAACCAGGCAGCTTTCAATTCTAAAACAATGCTGATAATCCTACCATGATTATTTGTAGCACATTTGATGGTACAGAGCACTTTTCTCATCTTCATAATAATCCTGTGAGATGGTGAAAGAGGATGTTATCTCCACCTGACAGATGAAGAGCCTGGGGTTTATGAATATGTCAAGACACAGAGTTTTAAGATGTCAGAGCTGGAACACTTACCATGCCTCAGTTTATAAATCACCAGAATCCAGCATTCAGTGGGTACTTAATAAACATGTAGCAAATGAATTAATCTAAATTAATTTAACTTTTCTGTCCACTGCTACTTTCACCCATGGCTTTACTAATTCTTCAATTGCTAGGATAGGTTTGTAAACTGAATCAAATAAAATTACGAACCCCTAAGTGATCACGTTATAATGCAATTTAGGCAGCCAGAACTTCTGGGTCAAAAACACAAGCAGAAAAATTTTTCTAGTTAAGTATCTTTTCACTTACACACTTCATAGGATATATAAAAGAATCTTATCTGGTAGAAGACCCAAAGGGAAAAAAAGGGAAAAAACCTATAGACATGTAATATTAACATGATTAGTATAAAATCAATACACAAACGTTGTTTGTGAAATGAGGATACTGATTTTAAATAATCAAAAAGCAGTTTACCTGCGGTGCGAGAAGAGGTAGCCTAATATAAGCCAGAAGTTTACTGAGATCTTTCCGTCTCTGTTCCAAATCATGACGGACCCAAGTAAGAAGAGCATTCAGTATTGTCTCCTCGTTAGGAATGTTCATGTCATCACTCGCCAAGAGCTTTGCGATTTCACTGGCTGGTAATAATACAAATTCCTGGTTTCGAATTACTTCCATGAAATGTTCCTAGAGGGGAAAAATTGCACATTTCAACAATATTGCTCCTTCTGTCCATCAGTTTGTTTAAGAGAAAATAAACATTTTTGGATTAGATGCCAAAACACAGTTTATACTTGAAAGCTTCCCTACAATAGCATTACTGTTTACCAGGAAAGAAGCACAGTATAAAATAACATTTAAGCTGCTATTATGTTGTTACACTGTAAGTCTCCATATCAGTAGAATTAAATTTTATCATTTGGTACATTTTATTTTTAAAAAAGATTTATTTATTTATTTTAAATATTTTTTTAAAAGATTTTTATTTATTTATTTGACAGACAGAGATCACAAGTAGGCAGAGGAGACAGGCAGAGAGAGAGGAGGAAGCAGGCTCCCCATCGAGCAGAGAGCCTGATGTGGGGCTCGATCCCAGGACCCTGAGATCATGACCTGAGCCGAAGGCAGAGGCTTAACCCACTGAGCCACCCAGGCACCCCTTACTTCGGATTTTAAATCTATTCTGTGGACCTGGGATTCCTAGGCTTTGCTTTACTCGAGATAGGGAATAGTTCTGGTAAGTCTTTCGAGAGGTAGAGAGTAGAAAAAAATGAATGAGACTCTGAGATGCAGGACAGTCTAACATCCAAGTTAGGTTACATTTGTGGTTGAAGAAGAATTTGGCTTATGTCCAGCCAGATCCCTGGGTGAGCTGGGAAGTTCTTTCTCTTATCCAGAAATGGCTGCCAGGTGGCTGGGTTTCCCAAGACCGACCTGGACCACAGAAGCCTTCTCATACTGCCCAGGGAAGACTACATATCCTTAGGGCTATTCTGGCTCTGATTGGCCTTCAAGAATGTTTTAATGTAATTCTTGAGACCACCCAGGATTTTAGGTCTATTTTTAAAACTACAAATCTGATTTATGTATAACGTCCTTTTGGTCTCAGAGAAAAAGAGCCAAAGCAGAAGTGTTGACATCGAAGGCAATGGGACTCCAGAACCGTGGACTGAAGATAATTCAGTTGCAACTACATACTAGAATCAGGCTCCTTTTAATTTGAAATGGGAAACAGAAATGACTTCAGCTGGGAGATAATGACCTTTACTAGGATATTATGCTGAACAGTCTGAAGAGATGGGAAACTTACTATCTGGTGTGCAAAGTTACAAGTCTTAAGGCATGGACTGTTTACTTAGCTATAATATAAATGCAAATGCTACACATATTGTCCCTTAATGTTTTTCTTACACTTCCTAGTGTGCTGGGGCTGTCTCAGCAAACATGGTTTTAGTGAAATAGGTAGGGCCATTGAAATTAGATCTAGAGATAAGGATTACCAGCAACCATCTTCTATATTAAAATGAGAATTATAGGTTCCATATAACTTGCAGTAACCCAAATTAGGTACTGATCTAAAATCTATCTTGGGTTGACATTCCTTTCTTAGCAATTCTTAACAGGAAACCATGCATGAATAATTAACTAAATTCAATTGCTTCAATTCATCATGATTTGTTAAAGATGCCCAAATGTATCTATTTTAAATGACGGATTATCATTTTTAGAAATATATTTTAATAAAACCTCGATGTTGGCTTCATGTAAACCGTTCTACTCAATCGTATACTGACATTATAAAACGAGCTGTAACACACTGTAAGAGCTATAAAAATGTTGAAGTTCTCAACCCAGTTATCCTACTAGCAGTTTAATCCTTAATAAATAATTCACAAGAGGAAAAAGAAAGCTGATGCTTCTCTAATGATGTTTCTCTGTATTATTATTTATAATAGTACAAAATGGGAATTAGCCTAAAGGTCCAGCTATAGGGGGCTGTAATTCAATGGGCTATTAAGCAGGCATTAAAAATTTCAAAAACAAAGATCACATAGATACATGGAAATAGATTTATTACATAACATTAGGTAAGATTCTCAAGAAATCAAAGTAATACACATTTCTAATTGCTCAAAGGTAGAGTATAGGAGGATCGACATTTAAGGCATACTGACAGAACTTTTGCTTTGCTTTCAAATGGTATTAATGGAATTACCAATGCCATGGTATTAGTTCATCAAGGAGAAAAGGACTATTATGTATATTATTATTTAAACATTTTTTTTTAAAGATTTTATTTATTTATTTATTTGACAGACAGAGATCACAAGTAGGCAGAGAAGCAGGCAGAGAGAGAGAGAGGAGGAAGCAGGCTCTCTGCTCAGCAGGGGCTCGATCCCAGAACCCTGGGATCATGACCTGAGCCGAAGGCAGAGGCTTTAACCCACTGAGCCACCCAGGCGCCCCTATATATTATTATTTATTTGTTGATTTTCTATTTCAGAACCATGCCCCTTCCATTTTAGTACAATTCACTTTAAGTGAAAAATCGAGGCTCAACAACTTACAGAAAGACTACTGACCTCAAGGTTAAACACAAAGTGCTTTTCAAAAGTATTATTTGGTTTTATAGCAGGTATTTTAGCAAAGTTCAGTGTTTTTTCTAGGTCGAGAAACAAAATTCAAAAATTTAAAATTAAATGCCTCTATTTATGTCACAAATCCATATTGCCATTAGATACTTGTAATGACACACCCAGTGTTGGGTTTTGGTAGAGGTTAAAGGACTCATGCCAGGTCACATTCAGTGGCAGTCAGAGTGAGAACAAGTTTCCAGATTTTGGGATTATTACAAGGAAGAACTCCTCATCCTGTCCTACCTGTGTTCCTAGAAGTGGAGTGGACATTCCAAGCATGTGTACCTTTTACTGATTGTGACAACTGAATTCACTATGTGGCATGATGCTTACTTCAGATTTTTTTTAAAGATTTTATTTATTTATTTGACAGGGAGAGATCACAAGTAGGCAGAGAGGCAGGCAGAGAGAGAGAGAGAGAGGGAAGCAGGCTCCCCGCTGAGCAGAGAGCCCAATGTGGGGCTCAATTCCAGGACCCTGAGATCATGACCTGAGCCGAAGGCAGAGGCTTAACCCACTGAGCCACCCAGGCACCCCTTACTTCGGATTTTAAATCTATTCTGTGTCGTTGTGATGAGCACAGGGTAACGTACGGAACTGTTGTGTCACTATATTGTACACCTGAAACTAATATAACACTGTATTACTAACTAGCATTAAAATAAAAACTTAAACAAAATCTATTTTGTGATATAAATAGCTATACCTTACCAAACACTTGCTAGCAAACATCCTTTCTCCATTTGGAATTAGCTTTCAAGCAAATGAAATTACTGAGGGATTTATTTAAATTGAAGATTGAATTTTGCTATACATTTTCATTGAGTTCCCATAGCAACAATTGAAATCAGACAGTCTGCCTCTAAATGACTTACTGTTATTAGAATTAAATTTCACCTCTCTGTTGAAACTGAATGTCAAATAATAGCCCTGAGGGGGGGAAAAAAAAACAAAACTACCCAACTAATTGGCTATGAAAATAGCTTTAAAAACATTGAGCTGAATCGATAATATTGTAAAATAACTCTGTATGGTTACAGAAAGTAACTGCACTTATCATGGTAGGCACTGCATAATGTATAGAATTGTCGAGTCACTACGTTGTACACCTGAAACTAAAATAACACTGCATGCCAGCTTTAATTAAGAAAAAAAAAAAAAGAGCTAATTTAAATTTAATTTATGTCTAAGCAGCCACTGTGCCTCTAGTATAAACAACGGGCTGACCTAAATGCATAGAAATGTTTTCATGTGAATCAAACTCCTTCCTAGGAAAGACATATTATTTAAATGATGAAACGATTATGAAAGAAAAGGAACCCAATTTTATTTATAGTCATCTTACTTCCCAAATTATTTGAACCCAAGGTTTAAGGTTAAAATGAGAAATTTGCAAGGAAACGATAAAAGACGGAGGTGGGGAAAAAATTTTCCATGGGACTTCATTTAGAAAATGCAAGGTCTGTATAGCATTGCCTTGTCACACAATCTCTGACTGTTATAAACAAGAAACACTGGGCGCCTGGGTGGCTCAGTGGTTAAGCCTCTGCCTTCAGCTCAGGTCATAATCTCAGGGTTCTGGGATTGAACCCCACATCGGGCTCTCTGCTTAGCAGGGAGCCTGCTTCCCCCCTCTGTCTCTGCCTGCCTCTCTGCCTACCTGCGATCTCTGTCAAATAAATAAATAAAAATCTTAAAAATAAAAATAAACAAGAAACATTCCTGAGGAGTGACGATACCGCAGGGGGGAGTATGAATCGTAAAGGTCGCCCTGCGGTATGAGTGCTTTTGTTCACTCCCATCAATCCCTGTTGTGTTGAACAGAGTAAATCCGTGCGGTGATGGGACAATGCTAAGGATATCATTTATTGATTGGATATGCTATGGGTCAATCACTATTTTAAGTGCTACACTCCCATGAACTCATTTAATCCTCACATTGAGCTTATGAAGTAGGTAGAATTATTCTTCCCAATAGTCGTAAACCTCTGTTCTTAGAATTGTTCCAAAATCTCTATTTCTGTAGTGAAAGATTCCTAAAGTATTTGTCAATCCCTTCACAGACAAGCCAACTTCATGGAAGGATGGAGAAGGTAGATAAAAACATCTCCAGATTGATAAAAATCAGTAACATGGATAACTAGTGTGTGCATATTCTTTCTTCTCTTAGGAGGTGTACTGGCCTAATTTCAGGAGACAAAGCAACAGTTCTCAGTCTTGGCCCAGCTATGAAGGCTTAACGCCACGGTGGGACAAGATGGTCATTCCTTAAAAATCCAAATATCCTCCCTTCCCCAAATCCCTGTACTGTGAAGACTGTGGGGCCTGGTCCTAACAATATACCCTCAACATGCCCTTCCTTTCTTGCTGTCCTAGATCAGTCTGTATCCATTATCCTCCAGTGTCTAAACAAGAACCTCCTCTGTAATTTATTTTGAGCACACAATTTGCTACAATTCATACCCACATTTTTCTACACAGCTAAAAATGCTTCTTATATATAATCAGATCTACCTTTAATAAAAAGCCATCTGTACCATCATCTGTACTGCACCAATTACCCCCCACCCCATTGCGGTTACCAATTTCCATCTGTGAGTACGTGGGCAATTCTGAAATTCATCCAACTGCTACAGAGGAAAATGTCGGAGAAATCCTGCTTTAAAGTGCAGCAGATCTGAAAATCTTGATTAGAACAGTCCTAGGCCACTGCTCTGCTTCTTAGAGACTGTAATAACTTCAGGCTTGACTCACATATCCAGGAGAAACAGGACCTGGTGTTTCCCCTTGTAACTCAATGACAGTATCACGCAGTAGACCGTGAACCTGAATCTCAGGACGTGTGGCATAGCCAGGGGAAAACAGCACCATGTAGGTAAGTCTGCAACAAGAAGCGATGAGGTAAAGAGCACATGCCTTTCTGCGTCTCAGGAAATACATACCATGGTGTAATTGTGAGCCACTTTATGTAAATCTGTACAACCCTGGGCATCGGCAAAAGAACGGATTCCAAGACAGTTGGATGGGTGAAGCTGCTTCATTAAAAACTTACAACAAGCTTCCACAACCTGTGAAAGCTGAAGGAGGCAAGCTGTGGACAGCAGGCACTCAATATTATCTTCTTTTAATTCAAGGCGGCCTAAATGATAAAGAGAAATTCCATTACCATAGAACTATATTAACTTTAATTTATAAAACAATCAGTATTAACAGTAATAATTCTAAACAAGAGCTCTGTAAATGAATTCTAAATGGTTTTAGATAGTCCAAAGAGAAAAAAGAAAAGTACTAACTATGAAAAAACCCTTTAGCTCCTTGTGACTTCTATTAAAGTAAAAAAACAAATGGCTTCTTTTCAGAATTTTTAAATGATGCTTTAATTAAGTGGCATACCTATTAAATATAATGCTCAAATTTTAAATGCAATAACTTAAAAACATTACATTATTCATCTAATTATTATACTTTCCTTGTTAAAACAAATAATTTTTTTTAACATATAATGTATTATTTGCCCCAGAGGTACAGGTCTGTGAATCATCAGGCTTACACATTTCACAGCGCTCACTATTACACATATACTAACAATTAAAAATACCAATCACAGGCTTAATTATAACCACCATTTTAAAGATTCTAATATAGAGATTTTTAACATTTTATAAAGGTATCATCAGCAGTGGTGATTCGAACAGCAGGATTCACTGTTAGCTTTGCCAGGCTTTCCTAAAAGCAGAAATCTGAAATCTCATAGTGCAACATAATTTTAAGATTATTATAATTTTAGATTTACATTTTCAGTTTTATTACCTGTATATGCATACTGAATCAAGGACCATAGTGAATTCGGTTCAACACCTTCCATTTTTATTTCTTCTTGTCTTGCTTCCCTGACATCATTAGTAAACATGGCAGCAAAATAATCTGAGACAGAGGAGAGCACCAATCTGAGAACATACCAGAAGAAAAAAAAAATCAGTGACCACATTAAAGTTGATGGTCATTAATAAATGTTTCTGCTTTCTCTCTCTCTTTCTTTCTTTCTTTTTTTTTTTTTTAATTTGTTACCCACAGAAAGTACGCGGTACCGGGAAATGCCTTTTAAATTTGACAAATTGCTTTATGCTCTAGTTCTTTCCTTGGAATAATAAATTACCATTATTGAACATTTCTGCTGAGGTAAATGATTTACCCATTCATTACTCAAATATCACTTCATAACATTCAGACAAAAAGCTAAAGGACGCAGCATGAAACTGACTATATAAAAAAAAAAAAAAGAAAAAAATATAAAGGTTACTTTCTGTTTATCACTTTTGGAAATAACCTAAGTGCTTTTCTTTTTAAATTTAATTGTAGAAGTAACAGATATATGGGAGAAATCTGAGGATGGTTTCAGCATGTTGTTTTTATAACTTTAGTGATTTATTATTATTATTGTAATGCTCACATTTTATTATCAAATGATAATATTTTGTTATAAAACTACAAACTATTTTTTTTTAAAGATTTTTATTTATTTATTTATTTGACAGACAGAGATCACAAGTAGGCAGAGAGGCAGGCAGAGAGAGAGGAGGAAGCAAGCTCCCTGCTGAGCAGAGAGCCCGATGCGGGGCTTGATCCCAGGACCCTGAGATCATGACCTGAGCCGAAGGCAGCGGCTTAACCCACTGAGCCACCCAGGCGCCCCTACAAACTATTTTTGTAATAGTACATTATTATATATTAGGTTCATCTCTGATCAGATTTTTGATAGCCAGATATGAACAAAAATAGGTTATAAATATGTATTTTGAAATGTGCTTTTTTTTAAATTTGACATCTTGGAGATCTACCCATGTCAGCACATTTATATTGATTCACTTTATTTCTTTTTTTAATTTTAAGAAATAGAAACAGATCATCACTGAAGCTTCCTCCGTGTTCTTCTCTGCTTTCATTCTCCTCTCCCCTCCAGGAGTGCACTGCCGTGTCCTAGGTTTGCCAGACAGCCCTCCAAAGTGCTGTGCCAAGTTAGACCCCCACCGGCACCGTATGAGAGAACATTTTCCCACAACAGCGTCAGATGTTAAAATTTCTGGCCATCAGCAAGGTGTTAAATGGGATCTTGTTGTTGTTTTAATTTTCATTCCCTTGATTGCTAGTGAGACTGAAGATCTTTTCAAACGGTTATTGGCCATTCAGGTTTCTTCTGAGAATTGCCCATTTATTCACTCACTAAAGACATTCACACCTAATAAGGACCAGGCACTTGAGTCACTGGTATAAATAAGAGATAAAAGATCCCTTCTCTCAGGGAGTCTTACATTCTGGAGGGAAGGGAGATAAACAATTAACAGCAGAAGTAAATTCTAGAGTACATTAAAGAGTGGGGACTGCTAAGAGAAAAAAGTAGGATAAGGGCAAATGGGGAGTAGGCAAGGGATTTAAATAAGTGGTCTGACTGGAAAGCGGCATTTGGGCAAAGAATTAGTCATACAGGTATGTGGGAACAGCATTTGGGCAGAAGGAACAGCCAGTGCAAAAACCCAAAGGCAGGAGCAGCAGGCCTGGCACATACAAGGATCATGGGGGCTGTGCGGCTCAAGTAAAGTACACAAAAACACAATGTCAGAAGGCAATGGCCACCACATGGCCCACTGACAAACTGCTTTATCATCATCTTTTGTCTTTCACAGTGATATGAGGAGTCACTGAAAAGTTAGATCACAGGAGTGACTGGATCTGAGTTTCATTTCAAAGGATCCCTCAGGTAGCTGTGCAGCAAACAGAATGTAGGGGAAAGAGTGAAAGCAGAGAGACCGGTTGGCAGTTTCTGGCACTGACTGAGACGCTGAGAGTTTACACATGCGTGGAAGGGAAGCTAATGAGCTCTGTTTTGGAAAATGGAATTTTAGCTATCTCTGTGGTGCACAGGTTGAAATATCTTTTCTAGTAAACCCATGCTCATAACACAGACTTTTTGTTACAGTATCTAGTAGCATCTCAATAAACATATGCCCATTGAATCATTGGAAACTGAAACCAAGCCCATTTTTCCTAATGATTTCACTTCCACTTTGGAAGGCTTAAGAAAACCTTTGAGACAGAGTGTTAATTAGCTTTTAAAAGCATTAAGAAAAGTCATAACAGTGATTAACATGGAACAACTGAACATGGGATTATCAAAGGAAACATAATGAATTGTTCTTTATTAAACATCTCTCTTTTCTTATTTCAAAAATAGAACTTCATTTGTGTCAAAGGTTTTTGTTCCCTAACATCACTGCTTTTCATATTTCTTGGAGGTCAGCAAACAGAAGTTGGGATAGATGCTGCTATTTTAAGACTCTTCTGTTTTTGCTATTTCATTCCACTGGCTTTTTTGCTTCTAAATACTCAGAGCTTTAATTTCTGTTGAGTTTACTTATCTAATAGGTAGAATTTAGGAGAAAAGCTGCTCATAGGAGCTGAAATCTTTGTTGAACAATACTGACCGATCTAAGGCTAGTGTGTTTTGTTTCTGTGTTTTTGCAGAAGCAAAGTGACCCCTGAGGGTCACTTAATGGGTGGCTCAGTGGGTTAAAACCTCTGCCTTTGGCTCAGGTCATGATCCCAGCATCCTGGGATAGAGCCCATCGGGCTCTCTGCTCAGCAGGGAGCCTGCTTCCCTTCTTCTCTTGCTGCCTGCCTCTCTGCCTACTTGTGATCTCTGTCAGATGAATAAATAAAATCTTAAAAAAAATAATAATTTCACATGCACTGTTTTCTTTGCAGAAATCCCATGAGAGATGCCCCTTCCCAAAAGTTAGTTGGAACAAATGATCTCAACATGCATAACTAAATTAGTAAGGAAATATTTCTCACATACAGAGATTTAGAAAACAATTACCTATGAGCTGGAATTCTGCGATCACCTGCAATTAGAATTACATCACACAACTGTTTATGTCTCAAATAGTTTTCCATCTTTTTAAATGTTTGCTCAGCATGATTAAGGGCTTGGAAAAATTCATCTGATGAACATGGCTCCATAGTATGGCAGGATGATAACGTCTGACTACTGTTGGAAGTCCTGAAAAGAAAGAGAACACACCTTTTGAAATGTTACTATGACACTGAAGAGATCTTCTCTATCAAGTTCTTTAAAAACCTTTAAGTGTAATAGAAGTCATCAATGCTACCAGTCAATAGTAATGTGTAATCATCATCTTTTGTCTTTTAAATTCGATGATGGCTCAAATCATACGTGTGTCACTCACACTGTGAGTGAATGTGACATCTGGTAGTTAATAACCATAAATACTCTTTGAGGTGTCTGTTTTTGAGATCTTTTCGTTGGTCAACATATCTTCCCTGTTAAAAAAAGAGCCAAGCTATATTCATAACGACGGCGTATCTCCTTTAACATTATATTTAAGGGTATAAGAGATCATTCTTTGAAAGCAGGAAGGCAACTAAACTGTTTTAGTGACATAAATCCAAGCCATCCTTTACTTAAAAATGGGTGATAGTCCACAGTTCATGTACAGGGTAATGGTTTAGGATATTAAACACAGTTGACCTTTGACCAACATGGGCTTGAATTGTGGGGGCCCACTTATACATGGATTTTTTTTCTTCCTCATATTAGTCTTTACAACATTTTCCTTATTCTAGCTTACTTTAAGAATATAGTATATAATACATAAAACATACAAAATGTATTCATTGACTGTACATGTTATTTGTAAGCTTTCCAGTCAAGGGCAGGCTATTACTAGTTAAGTTTGTGGGGAGTCAAAAATAATATGTGGGTTTTGGGCTGTGTAGGGTCTGGTATCCCTAATGCCTGCATTGTTCAAGGGTCAATTGTACACCGACATAAAAACAATGTTATAAATAATTCATTTGATTCTCTAGTCAGTCTTGAAAAGCCCAGTTAACCTATAACTTATATTATAGGTAAAAGAAATGTGATGGCCTAACCTAGGTATCTAGAAATTATTTGAAATTTCCAAATCAGAATTTGAAAGGTATGAGTTCTATATTTTCATATAATTTACTGATGGAAATTGTGAAAAAGTAAAAAGGTTACTACTAGGAACTAAGTCCTAAGTTCCACCAAGATCACCTGAATAGCATAATCAACATCCATTGGGTATGCAATAAACTACCAAAAAGGTCATAACTTGGTTCTCAGTTCTGGTCACAATTACTTTTAGGGATATTTTCATTCTGACAAAGGCTTTGTTGACTCAATCCTCACTGCATCTTAAGATATAGATATATATATATATTTTTTTTAATATTTTATTTATTTGCCAGAGAGAGAGAGAAAGAGTACACACAAGCAGGCAGAGAGGCAGGCAGAGGCAGCGAGAGAAGCAGGCTCCCCGCTGAACAAGGAGCCGGATGCGGGACTTGATCCCAGGACCCTGGGGTCATGACCTGAGCCGAAGGCAGTGCCTTAACCCACTGAGCCACCCAGGCATCCCTTAAGATATATTTTTAATATAAACAGCTAATAAACTTCCCCCCAAAAGAAAAAGTCACTGCATCTTTTAGAGTCAAGAGAACTGAAGCCAAAGAAAGGAGGTGCCTGTCGAGAGTCCTACAGCTTGTGCTTGACAGAGACAGGTATGTCACAGAGACCACTTTTAAGACCCTTTCTATTTTTCTTCAGAGAGTATAACTAGGCTGCATTTTCCAGACTCTCTCAAAGACAGGCATGGTCTTATGATGAAAATGAACTACGTCACCTCTAGGCTAACATGGCTAAGGGCAGGTGTTCCTTTCTCATTTTTTCTTTCTCTTTACAGGAGCTGAATGGAGAGGACCGAGGGTTTAGAGGAAGGAACAGGTAAAATACACACGTGGGGGGCGCCTGGATGGCTCAGCTGGTTGCACAACTGCCTTCCGCTCAGGTCATGATTCCGGAGTCTCGGGATCGAGTCCCACATTGGGCTCCCAGCTCCATGGGGAGTCTGCTTCCCCCTCTGACCTTCTCCCCCCTCATGCTCTCTCTCACCCTCTCCCTCTCTCAAATAAATAAATAAAATCTTTTTTAAAAAAATGTATGTGGCGGGAGGAGTCATGATGGCGGAGAAGTAGCAGGCTGAGACTACTTCAGGTAGCCGGAGATCAGCTAGATAGCTTATCTAAAGATTGCAAACACCTACAAATCCAACGGGAGATCAGGAGATCGAAGAGAAGAAGAACAGCAATTCTAGAAACAGAAAATCAACTACTTTCTGAAAGGTAGGACTGGCGGAGAAGTGAATCCAAAGCAGCGACGGGAAGATAGACCGCAGGCGGAGGGGCCGGCTCCCGGCAAGCGGCGGAGCAACGGAGCACAAAATCAGGACTTTTAACAAAGTCTGTTCCGCTGAGGGACATCGCTCCAGAGGCTTAACTGGGGTGAAGCCCACGCGGGGTCAGCGTGGCCTCAGGTCCCGCAGGGTCACAGAAGGATCGGGGTCTCTGAGTGTCGCAGAGCTTACAGGTATTAGATCGGGGAAGCCGGCTACAGAGACAGAGCCGAGGAGTAAGCTCTAAGCTCGGGGTTACCTTGAACCGGTCACAGTCTTGGTCAGCTCGGAGCGCGGCCAGAGGCCAGGGTGACGGGAGTAATTGGGCGCTGTTCTCTGGGGGCGCACTGAGGAGTGGGGCCCCGGGCTCTCGGCTCCTCCGGGCCGGAGACCGGGAGGCTGCCATCTTCATTCCCGCCCTCCGGAACTCTACGGAAAAGGCTCAGGGAACAAAAGCTCCCGAAAGCAAACCCGAGCGGATTACTCAGCCCGGCCCGGGTAAGGGCGGTGCAACTCCGCCCGGGGCAAAGACACTTGAGAATCACTACAACAGGCCCCTCCCCCAGAAGATCAACAAGAAACCCAGCCAGGACCAAGTTCACCTACCAAGGACTGCAGTTTCAATACCAAGGAGAGCAGCAGAATTCCAGAGGAGGAGAAAGCAAAGCACGGAACTCATGGCTTTCTCCCCATGATTCTTTAGCCTTGCAGTTAATTTAATTTTTTTTTCTTTTTCAATTTTTTTTTCCCTTCTTCTGCTAAATTTTTTTAACTTATACCCTTTTCTTTTTTAATGTTTTTTAACTAGTTTATCTAATATATATATATTTTTTTCCTTTTTATATTTTTTCTTTATTGGTTTTCTTCTTTTAATTGTTTCTTTCTTTTTTTTTTTTTCTTTCTGAACCTCTTTTTATCCCCTTTCTCCCCCCTCACGATTTGGGATCTCTTCTGATTTGGCTAAAGCATATTTTCCTGGGGTTGTTGCCACCCTTTTAGTATTTTACTTGCTCCTTCATATACTCTTATCTGGACAAAATGACAAGGCGGAAAAATTCACCACAAAAAAAAAGAACAAGAGGCAGTACCAAAGGCTAGGGACCTAATCAATACAGACATTGGTAATATGTCAGATCTAGAGTTCAGAATGACGATTCTCAAGGTTCTAGCTGGGCTCGAAAAAGGCATGGAAGATATTAGAGAAACACTCTCGGGAGATATAAAAGCCCTTTCTGGAGAAATAAAAGAACTAAAATCTAAACAAGTTGAAATCAAAAAAGCTATTAATGAGGTGCAATCAAAAATGGAGGCTCTCACTGCTAGGATAAATGAGGCAGAAGAAAGAATTAGCGATATGGAAGACCAAATGACAGAGAATAAAGAAGCTGAGCAAAAGAGGGACAAACAGCTACTGGACCATGAGGGGAGAATTCGAGAGATAAGTGACACCATAAGACGAAACAACATTAGAATAATTGGGATTCCAGAAGAAGAGGAAACAGAGAGGGGAGCAGAAGGTATATTGGAGAGAATTATTGGAGAGAATTTCCCCAATATGGCAAAGGGAACAAGCATCAAAATCCAGGAGGTTCAGAGAACCCCCCTCAAAATCAGTAAGAATAGGTCCACACCCCATCACCTAATAGTAAAATTTACCAGTCTTAGTGACAAAGAGAAGATCCTGAAAGCAGCCCGGGAAAAGAAGTCTGTAACATACAATGGTAAAAATATTAGATTGGCAGCAGACTTATCCACAGAGACCTGGCAAGCCAGAAAGAGCTGGCATGATATATTTAGAGTACTAAACGAGAAAAACATGCAGCCAAGAATACTATATCCAGCTAGGCTATCATTGAAAATAGAAGGAGAGATTAAAAGCTTCCAGGACAAACAAAAACTGAAAGAATTTGCAAACACCAAACCAGCTCTACAGGAAATATTGAAAGGGGTCCTCTAAGCAAAGAGAGACCCTAAAAGTAGTAGATCAGAAAGAAACAGAGACAATATACAACAGCAGTCACCTTACAGGCAATACAATGGCACTAAATTCATATCTCTCAATACTTACCCTGAATGTTAATGGGCTAAATGCCCCAATCAAAAAACAAAGGGTATCAGAATCGATAAAAAAACAAAACCCATCTATATGTTGCCTACAAGAAACTCATCTTAAACCCGAAGACACCTCCAGATTTAAAGTGAGGGGGTGGAAAAGAATTTACCATGCTAATGGACATCAGAAGAAAGCAGGAGTGGCAATCCTTATATCAGATCAATTAGATTTTAAGCCAAAGACTATAATAAGAGATGAGGAAGGACACTATATCATACTCAAAGGAACTGTCCAACAAGAAGATCTAACAATTTCAAATATCTATGCCCCTAACGTGGGAGCAGCCAACTATATAAACCAATTAATAACAAAATCAAAGAAACACATCGACAATAATACAATAATCGTAGGGGACTTTAACACTCCCCTCACTGAAATGGACAGATCATCCAAGCAAAAGATCAACAAGGAAATCAAGGCCTTAAATGACACACTGGACCAGATGGACATCACAGATATATTCAGAACATTTCATCCCAAAGCAACAGAATACACATTCTTCTCTAGTGCACATGGAACATTCTCCAGAATAGATCACATTCTCGGTCCTAAATCAGGTCTCAACCGTTATCAAAAGATTGGAATCATTCCCTGCATAATTTCAGACCACAATGCTCTGAAGCTAGAACTCAATCACAAGAGGAAATTTGGAAAGAACCCAATTACATGGAG